AATAATTTAAATGATCATCTAACACAGAGCAAATTTTTGCTCTGTTGACTAATATAATGAGATTCATCTCTAATCATAATAAAATGAAAGCAAGTTCAGAAATGTGATAGTAGTAAAGAAACATTGAACGGTCTAAAGTCAACAATCACACAGAAAAATTATTTACATTATGCTTAATTGAAGAGGAGAGAAGGATCTTTCAATTAATAAAAGTGGAAGCTGCTGCTGATTAAAAGACGTCTCCAGACGGATAAATTCTAAATCCTTATTAGTAGCGCTGGAATATCTTGCGTTAACAGCAGTTTCAGAAAATAGGCCAGAAAGAGACTAACTTCAAAAGTAATTAAGTACATTTTGCTGGAAGAAAACACTCACAGACGAAGAGAGGAAAAGAGAAAGAAAGGAGCAATCTCTCTTATATAACGGATATAAAGTTCCTTAAAGTGAATAGATTATCAGTTCCCAAATGAATAATTACGTTCTATCTTACTTCCTCCTTTCGTTAAAATCATGAAGTATCGCTTTGAAATGACTAATTTGTGCTACTATTTACTCGGAGTTGGTTCAGAGATGCAGCACAATTGTTTAATAATAAGAACCTTTTCATCTACACTTACAGTAATTCAGTGTATAAACATCACATATAAAAGTTAGTATACAAAAGATTATCATTGTCGTTATCACAGTTACGCATGCCAAGAGAAATTAGATAAAACTAAACATTCTGAGAATGATAGAGGCAACCTATTTTTAACAATCTTGTACTTATTTCTGCTGGTTTATTATAACACTTGAGTTCAAGTTCTGTAAGGAAGAGTAAGGTATAGGCATCAGAGAATTAACTCATATTTGTCTTGCAACTTGAATTATCATTTCATTCGATAAAATATAAACAAAGTGCTCTACCTATCTTAACAATATTTCATTGTAAAGTGCACATTGTTTCATAATAGCAGTTTATTTATATTTTTTTCGCATAGATTTTTTCCCCGAAGTCAATATTTATATTAATTGCTGCAAGAATCCAAAATAGCTTTATACGCGGTTAATATTTCCTAAGGAAAGGAGAAATCTAGTACACTTAGGTAAACTCTGCAACATAAAATTAAAGAAATTTCTTGAAAGTTAGAGTTTCCTCTGAATTTTAATTTTCAGTCACCTTTAGAGAGAAATTTATTTTCTCAATATTTCTTGACTTTAGATGAGAAAAGTAATTGAAAGCAAACATCGAATAACGTGTGGTAAATAGCTGATTTTCTTCTAAAAACGTGTTCTTTTAAAACTTGAACTTTTAAAACTTTTTCTTACTGCTTTTATAATTTCTAAAGAAATACAACAAGAGAAACTTTAAAATTAAGGATTTTCATAATAAAAAGAGCAATTTCGTGGGCTTTTAGTTTATATATTCTCCGTATCTCTCTCTATATATATGTATTTACATATATTAATAGAATATCTTATTTCTTTATCGCCGCACAAACTAGACAGTGGTTACTGACTGACTGTTAAACAATAAGGCCGGGGTTACAGTCCCGGAGAAGGCATGGAAGTTTCTAAATGTATAGCGTCTTTGCGGCATGGGGACACTTTAAATATATGGCGAGCCGAAAGTCCTTTCGTGTGGGATGGCGTTAGGGAAAGAGGGATGGGAGACCTTCGGACCCACCCACCCTATGTATGGAGGTAGGAAGTTACATGGAGTGGGCCTAAACCGGTTTCCCCACACCCTGCTTTGAAGCACTGGCGATCCCTTCTTTGGTGACCTACACATTGGGTAATTTACCATTGAGTTCAATGGGTTTTGACACGATCGGATGTAAATATTTTGTAATTACGTCGTAAATATGCATATAAATGTGTATATTTTCTTTTTCTACAATACTTCAGAGTCCTAAGTATATGAAAATAATACATTTTTAAACAACATTTCATTCTGAACGGAACTAAATGCTATACCTTTCACTGAACAGTTTGCTCAAAATGGTTTAATTTGAAATATTTTTCCAATTTCATTAGAAAGTTTCGTTATTAGGTTTTCGTAATTACATTTAGAATAAAAATTTAAGGTAATTAATTATTCGGTTAAGGATACAAATAAAAGTTTATTGTATTATTAAATTATGCATTATTTCTTTTCTATATAGAGCTCTTCCTAAATACTTCTCATATAGACAGATTTTTTAGCTTCTGAGGCATCTTTTAAATCGAAAAATATAAGTCAGTTTATAATTAATGATCTATTCGGCCATTTCAAATTAGAGCACCTTTTCATTTAATCGCGAATACTTGAAATAGTACTTAACTTCTCTGAAATATTTCTGAAAGGGATTAAATAAGATTTTTTTTAACTATTATTTAAAACTGTAACTGATTTATTATAAAATGTAAGGGGAATAATTCTTTTAATTATTACATTTTTTTAACCTTAATTCCACCAATACATATTCCCAAACTCTTCTTTATTACTCTCTTAAGTATGCATCTCATAGAAATTGCTTTACAACTTTTAACAGATCGCTTCCAGTACGAACAATTCTTGCTTAAATAGTTTATAACGTATTTGTCAAAGGAGTCAATTTATGTTTACATTCAATGTTAGGTTTATATATTTAGATAATATTTATAATCATTATAAATTAGATTTCTCTCACAGTAACTTTCACAGTTATTTATGAATGAGTAGTAAATGTCATTTCAAATCATTATAATAATTTATAATATTTACATATTTTGTCAAGGCAGATACATGCTTTTTTGCAGCACATGCATAAATACCCATACATATTTCATATTTTTCATTTCCGGCATTGGAAATCTTTAATTTCTGTGCATTCACTATATTTTTCGAGTAAAGGAATTTACACTAACTTTAAAAAGTGCATGTTACAATAATATGTGTATGTGAAAGAAATGTATTTTATTCAAAACATTTTGCCGTTGAGGCATTTTTCATTCTTTAAGCTTAATTCTTTAAGCTAAATAATTTTCATTCTTTAAGCTACGCTGAGGCATTTTTCATTCTTTAAGCATAACGTTTTGCTAAAATCTATATTTTGTAGTTCAACAGCTTAGATTTTATAAAACAATTCATAATCAAAATCGCGTCGTTAGTTATCAAAAAATAACCAAGATGTGATTTTGCGTAAATATGCTAAACTATACAAATTGCTATTATCCCTCATACTAGGAATGTTTATTTTATGCGGAAGGTCCGTTTTTGATTTGTAGGAACTATCGTGTGTCGAATACATCAGAGAGCGTCAAGCGAGCTTCTGAATGTAAACAAAAAAACCCCCGTCTGGCTTTCGGAGCAGTCCCTTTCTAATACAGTCCTCCTTCCTTCTTATCCCATGATCCTGTGTTTCTCTCAAAATGGGTTTGGCCACTCCTTCCCTACCTCCATGTCCTTCTCAAAATTGGAGTTTGGCCACTCCTTCTTTTCTTACCTCCATGATCCGTGTTGCTGTCTCAAAATTAGAGTTTGGCCACTCCTTACTTTCTTACCTCCATGATCCTGTGTTGCTGTCTCTCAAAATTGGAGTTTGGCCACTCCTTCCTTTCTTACCTCCATGATCCTGTGTTGCTGTCTCTCAAAATTGGAGTTTGGCCACTCCTTCCTTTCTTACCTCCATGATCCTGTGTTGCTGTCTCTCAAAATTGGAGTGGAACTAGGCACAATCGCACTATCACCTATATGGCAACCAAAGCTCTTTCCAAAGACAAGCGTAATATTGTACTGCTTCCCACTATGAATTACAAGGTTTTTTTTTTTTGTGTGATGAGGTTAGATATGTGAGAAAATTTGTCACACCAACAAATTTTCTGTATTGAATTTTATTGTCAAAATAAATTCTTCTTCTGAGCAATGCACACACCTTCAATACTAAACTTTAGATGGGCATATGTTATTAGGAAGTTATGCAAATGATTCCAATTTCAGCCCTGTTAAACGCCTCATTTAGAGCGTGCGCGATATGAGAACGTTTTCGTACAGACAGCCATTTTAACTTTTGGGGAGGGAGGGGGATAAAATCGATTTTGCATAAAAATGCTTTTGAAATCAATCTGATTCAGATGTAGAGAAGTACCACATAAAACGAAAACCGGTCAATGAAATATATGTGTTACCTATCATTTTCGTGGAAACTATAATTATAATTTCCTTGAAACTATAATTACTCGGTTTCAAAATTCGGATCAGAGAAAGAACTTATAGCTAACACAGAAGGCATTTCAGACTTACAATGCTCAGAAGGATTGTGCCATGAAAGATAAAACTCAGATCCTTGACACCGCTTGGAGATAACTGCTAGAAGCTGGAACTAGGTCTCAAAATCATTAAAGATGTTCGACTTATTTCCCAACATTAGTACAGCCAGCTGGATATTGCTATAGTCTGTCATCTTGGAAATGTTTGAGTTACGGAATACTGCCTTTAGCGATTAATCCCCACGTCTCTCTCAATGCTATATCTTGCAATGCTCTAGCTTTCAATGCTCTCCATGCTATATCTCTCAATGCTATATTTTGCAAGGCAGTGTAATGGCTTTGTAGTGCGTCAACGACGCCCTGTAGAGGATTGAAAGCTGTCCAAGTGCCATTACCCCAACAATCTTCTCTACAAAATTTCCTATAATATATTTTGCTCGATAATTTAGCAAACTTCCACGATATCAAGGTTCTCAGGTGTAAGATCAAAAAACTGTATCTGGTACATGGTATGAAGACAGCTATAGCCTTCTCACTATAAGGCTGAACTACATGATTTGTTAAGTTTACAGTGTAGAATCTTCCGACTCTAACATAAAAACCTACCATAAAACTTTTAATCAATTGCATGCCTTCTTAAACGATACACGCAGGTAAGGTTTCTTATCTGTAACTCAGTTTAAAATGCGTACACCTACTAAATATGTTGTTATTAATAAACCTTTCTACAACAGAATGTATTTATGAAAGATTAATACTATATGTTGATGCGTAATTTCTTTCTTTTTCAGGTTCCAGAAAAACAGCCCTCTTTAGTGGATATATCATCCTCATATTAGCTGGAGTATGCACAAACCTTCTAGTCTCTCTGGTCATTATCGGAAATTCGCGCTTGCGAGTGGCTCGCAATTTACTTATAGTAAACTTGAGCTTCTCGGATCTTATGCTGTGCTTATTTTGCATGCCATTTACACTGGTAGAACTGTTGAATCGTACTTGGAACCTCGGGTCTTTCTTGTGCAGAGGAGTGCCTTTTGTTCAAGGCATTACTATCTTTGTCTCCTCTGCTACTGTTTCAGCTATTGCTATAGACCGCCAACACGTAATTGTAAATTTCAGTGGTGATAGAAAAAAGATAGACAAGGGTAGAAGCAACATGCTGCTGTATACATCGATCCTGTGGTGCTTCTCGGTGCTTCTGTCACTTCCTATTATCTTCTCGAAAACTGTAACAACCGTCTCTTTGGCTGGTATGGTGCTGTACGAGAAATGCATTGAACAATGGCCATCCAGTCACGCCAAGGCAATGTACACCATCCTCATTCTTGTAGCCCAGTTCTTCATTCCCAGCATTGTACTGACTGTGACTCATCTCAGAATTAAAACTTATTTGAACAGGAGTGTTCGAAAACATGATGCCAGAAGCTCACCCAGGACATCAGAGCGTTTAAAGAAAGAACTCAAAAGAAACAACAGAGCGACCGTGGTTCTTTCTTTCATATCAGTTGTCTTCGCCTGTAGCTGGCTTCCGTGGAATGCTTTCAATCTCATGGCAGATTTTGATTTGCTATCAAACATGCCAGCAAATCATTTCTATTCGGCTTTTGCTATCTGCCACCTCGTAGCCATGTCATCTAGTGTCACAAATCCGATATTGTATGGTTGGTTTAACAGCAATGTTAGGAGAGAATTGCGCCGAATTAGAATTGTCGCCACTCGTCACGTGTTTGGACCCAAGCCAATGAAAAGCGAGCGTTCTAATGGTACCATGCTTTGTGAAAATACTTACATACGTTCTTCTGGAAGAAGAGATATACAAGAAAGTCACCTGTAGATAATTAATTGTAAATGATGAAATAACTTAGTATACAACCACGGAAGGAGAATTTAAAAGAACATCTTAGCTCTCTGCCAGTTCATGGAACCAACTGCTCTTTGCGCATTTTCGGACATTTTATAAAACTTAGTTTTATTCACATACATAAAAAGCTTCACATCAATAAACTTTCTATCGAGCACCAACACCAAAACAATGTAAATCCTTAAAGGAGTATTCGTATTCTTTCAAATATTCCTAACGCTGTACATTTGCATTTATAAAAACATATTTATATGAACTTCTGAAATAATCCATAAAACATTATTCTTTCAAAATAACTTGTTTTACATTTATTCAGACAATGTTCAGTGTTAGTTCGCAATATAACTCTAGTTACTCTAACTGCGATAAGTGTATATTGTCGGTAATTCTATTTTTCGAATAAAACATTCCTTAATCCCGTCAGAACTTGTCGTAATCTGATAGTGTTTTGTGTATTAAAAATCTGAAACTACAAATTAGGAGTTGCTAATATTAGCACTGGCAAAAATATAAATATCCTTAGTTACGAATTTTTGCAGTAAAAATAATCGCTTTATTTAGGAGTGCATTTACATGTCAACAGTTTTTGTTTCAGCAGTTGAAAATTAATTAGTGTACGAAAAGAACCATAATGCCGATGAGATAGTGTACGAAAGAACCATAATGCCGATGAGAAGTGTATATTTTCGGTAATTCTATCAGGACTTGTGTTTCTCTTGATTTGCTTTGGAAACATGATGTATACTGAATAGGAACAGGGTGCTTACTCAAGCTATGTTCGAGATTTGTGTGTAACAGACGACACAAGGAGGAAGGGTATACGAAACCCTTTATTTTCTATACTTTTACAAGTACTCCCGGACTTAGGGATACAAAGACCAACCACTTGTGGTCTGAACGTAAGAATATAAAACTACTAACTAAATCTCTAACTAAAAACTAACTTTTAATTAGTATACAAATGTCTAGCACTAAGACTGGCCTTATTTAAAAGGTACGTATGTAGTACGCCGAGCTGCCGAAATCACAATGTTTACAAATATCAACAGGGCTAAACCTCTGCCTTAAAGGCAACCACAACCGAGTGAAAACTCGTAAAACTGCACTGGAGTGGCTTGCTTCTAAAACTCTTCTCCTCTCTTAACTCTTGGAAAAAAAGCAACAACTTAAATACTGAGCGTAGCAATATAATTAGCAAAACAAGTTAAAGCATTAATCTGGCCGGAAGTAGAAAATAAGATGTGATAGTACAGTATTAAAATCAAATAAACATTAGTAAAACTTAAGATCCTTACAATTATATTTTTCAAATAAAAATTCCTTAATTCTTTCAGAACTTATCGTAATCTGATAGTGTTTTGTTGCTCTCAACTGCCTATAAATTCTTTATTTGGCACAAAAGATATCAAAGTTTTCTTAAAACATTAAATCTAAACTTATTCTAGCAATTCAAAATAGCAAATTTTTGGTGTTTTAGGAAAACTGAATTTTTTGTCTTCAACGTACATTTTTTTAGTTATCTTTTGTCGAAATTTTCAAATGGTCTCTGTATTTAAGCTTCGACACGTCATCACATAAACATTAGGATATTACGTTTCAAAAGAAACTGGGTAGTAAGAAGAATTGCCCTATTGATCACTTCCGACTTATTTTAAATACTATCTTAAAAGCTACTATTTTAAAATAGTTCTCTGCATTCAATTTCTGATTTATGAACACTGAATTTATAATCAAGTAATACAGTATCCTCACCGAACTTCAGCATTGCTGTCACTTTGATCCGGTATGGACATGTCTCCACTGAGTACAACAGGACTTAGTGATTCGGCAAGTTGTAGTTTCTCAGCAAATTTGATACATTTAGCATATTTCTTGAAATTTAAAAGATCTCCAGATACTTATTTTAAAAGTACACCTCACTATATAAGATGGTATGAGGAAATTATTTCTTCGAAGAATAAAAGTTGAGGATTCTTTAAGATAGGCGTTCAGTCTCGAAGAATAAGAATTTAACTAATTTCTACTTAGTTTGGTACACATTCATTCGACATGAATAGAAACAAAATTCCACTTTATATGTCGAATATTATCTTCAGTAACATCTGGCTTCGGAGTAAAATTGTCGTTAGGTCCTCAGTCTCGAAGAAGAAGAACTTAACTAATTTCTACTTAGTTTGGTGCACATTCTTTCGATATAAATAGAAACAAAATTCTACTTTATCTGTCGAATCTATTACTTCAGTAACATGTGGCTTCGAAGTAAAGTTGTCGTTAGGCCCTCAGTCTCGAAGAAGAAGAATATAACTAATTTCTACTTAGTTTGGCACACATTCATTCGATATGAATAAAAACAAAATTCCACTTTATATGTCGAATCTATTATTTCAGTAACAGCTAGCTTCGGAGTAAAGTCGTCGTTTTTAACTCAATTGTTGTCATTTAAAAATGAAATAATTCTTTTGCAATGGTTAAATCCTACTGTATAAACTGACACGAAGAAATCATTTTTCTAAAAAATTTAAAAGAATTAGGAATTCATTCAATGTACGTCAAAGCAGAAAATAAGTGTTTCGTTAGGCCTAGTTATTTTTTTAGACTTTTATTAATATTTCCTGTATAAAAAGTTAAAATCTGTAATCCTTGACCTTAAAACTAAGGTTATTTTTACTGATTGTCCAACAAATCTAAGAACTTCTCTAAAACCTCTTTGTCTGGAGACAATTTCTCCAATAAGCCTTTGCAATTAATTTTATAAAGCTATCGGCAACACAAATATTGCAAATCGAAACTCAAACTTTAAGTTCAAAGTGGAAATATGTTCTTATTGCGAGAACAAATTGATATATTTGTATTCAAAACCACATCCTGTCCGAATAAATATGAAACGATGTTTATTAATGGAACACTTGAAAGCAGTGGTCTCAGATTCAAATTGCACGAGGGCAAAATTGCCGTCTGAAAATAGCGGATGGGCTGAAAAAAAAAAAAAAAAAAAAAAAAAAAAAAAAAAGATAAACAAAGCGTAATTGTTAGCTAATTTTTAAATCTTTCCACTACATATTTCTGAAAACATACCTATAATAAAGATGAACATGAAGCAAAGAAAAGATGAAGTAAAGAAAGAGTTCAAAGAAGACGTACTTATTTTCTACGTGATATCTCATAGCTGGTATCTGTAAGAAATTTTCGTTGTTGTTTTGAATACCCAATTGGTGATTCAAAACATAAATATTAAAGTTTAAAGTATATATTAAAGATTTCAGTTTGACATTTATTCAAATATCTACGATATACTGAAATAACCACTTAATAACTTACTTAAAACATATCCAAACTTGCCAAGATGGACAAAACTTGAGAGTGAATAATTACAACCTATTCTTTTTATTTTATTAGGTTTTTCTATGATATGTAAAGAAAAAACAAATTTTTATGTAAGCAGTTATAAACTTCTTTGTTTTTTACTACACCTTTCAGCTTCAGTACCAAATGGCCTTGTGAGTTTCACAAAGCTTGTAATCTCAGAGGAAGCTTATTAGGAAGTATCTTCAATAGAAATTGTAGATACTCATCGGCATTATGGTTCTTTTCGTACGCTAATTAATTTTCAACTGCAGAAACAAAAACTGTTCACATGTAAATGCACTCCTAAATAAAGCGATTATTTTTACTGCAAAAATTCGTAACTAAGGATATTTATCTTGTTACCAGTGCTAATAAAAGTTACTCCCACTTTGTAGTTTCAGATTTTTGAATAAGATTTATATCACACTGTAATTTAATTAGCTCTATGTCTAGATTTTACGTTACCTTACGTGTCAGCGTTACTCACATTATTTTCTAATAATGGAAATAATGTAAAATTGTTTTCTATACCACTAAAATCTTTATTTTTTTAATTCTGGAAATTACAAATTTACGAAAAAAATTATAAAAAATCAAAATTTCAAAAAAAAACGATTAAAAATCTAAAAACTTACAACAAAGTTATGTATTCTTAAGTTTTATTAATTCTCGCTGTCCCTAAACTTTCTCGAGCCATGTGGCTCCCTCTATTGAGCATCAAGTTTACTACTTGCGCAATTTTCCTATTTCTGCTCGCTTTTATGTGATTCTGATGAGGAGGTACATGGTTTTGAACCATAGGCACTCCGCAATTTTTAATCATTGGCAATACATAAATAGCCGCTAAAATAGCTTTGGAGGCTGCACGCAGCCCATTAGCCACCAGTTTGGGATTACTGACTTAAAGCATAAAGATTTTTAATCGGAAGTTCTTGGCATATTCGGTTACGGAACTATCACTTTCCTCATGACCTATAGAGACTCTCTAAGCGGTTGATAAGAGCTATTTTGTAATCGCTGCGTGCCAGTGTACCTCCTAGTTCAAAGTCTAAGTTCCATGTACATTCTGGATATTCTTATTATTTAATATATGCTAATATAAAACTGTTTCAACATTTTTATCCAAGTTTCCCCGTTTCCGATAAGTTGTAAAACGTGCGTAGAGAGCTTGGAATATTCAGTAATATAACAGAAGAGTTTTCTTAGGACCAACTTTCATCTTCCAAAATGCTTCTGATTCAGAAAGAAGCATTTCACTTTCAGATATCTCAGCTGCTTATTCAGCGATTTGCAAATGTTGTTCTATTTACATATAAAAACACATTTACATTCGTAACGAATATCTGATGTATGTTATCGTTGTGCAGATATCACCTTTTTAATACCATTGCTATTTCTTCCAACAAAACACAAACTGCAAGTAATATAAATTACATGCAACATAAGAGTTATTTCAAAGAATGAAGTAGCTTCATCGTTTTAATTAACTACTACTTATCCTTATTGATGTAATGGCTGCGAGTTTGAAAACTTAATTTATGAATATTTCATTGCTGAGCATGGAATATGTAAAATTTTAGTTAACGTGTTTTTATGTGTGTTACTGTACATGAATACATGAATTTTATGTGTCACGTTCATAATTTCTAAGTGCATCAGTGCACAGAAGAGTGTTACGTCAAAACATTTCCATTATATACATAGCATATTATCAATACTTATTGCATAATACTAATAACTACTAAGTGACATTATCTGAAAACAATTAAGATACCTTCAGAATATTTATAAGAGCATCAAAGCTGCCTTCACAGAAATATTTCACTGTCTGTTGCACTATGAAAAGAATTGCATGTAGTTTTTTAATTTAATTTCAATCTAGGAATGCTATTTGCGTAAACATTATGAAGGATATATAATTTACCTATAACATGGCTTTCGAAGAAGTGCATCCGATAGGTATTATTAGTTGTAAAGTGTCAGCATTGTAAAAATATAAAACCATAAATTCATGCTTCGTTTTATTATATAAACAAAAGGCTTTTAATGATGGATAATGA